ATGGCACTTCAGTACCCAGTATGGCACTTCAGTGCCCAGTATGGCAGTTCAGTGCCCAGTAATGGCACTTCAGTGCCCGGTGTGGCACCAGTATGGCAATTCAGTGCCCAAAATAGCACTTTTAGGCAACATGTAAACACTGTTAAAATCAGTTCTTGTCACCTTGATATTTGTTTGCCTCCTGACCTTGATGCTTGACTATTACTTCCTGACTTTGATTATTACCTCCTGCCCTTGATTATTACCTCCTGCCCTTGATTATTACCTCCTGACCTTGATTATTACTTCCTGACCTTGATTATTACCTCCTGACCTTGATTATTACCTCCTGACCTTGATTATTACTTCCTGACCTTGATTATTACCTCCTAAATATACCTACCTTCTAACCTTGATTATTACCTCTTAAGCTTGATGTTTACCTTCAGACCTTGATGGCTACCTCTTGATATTGATATCTATCTGTTGATCTTGCTGTCTGTCTCTTGACCTTGATGTCTGTGTACCTCCTGACCTTGATGTATATCTACCACTTGACCTTGATGTATATCTACCTCTTGACCTTGATATCTATCTATCTCTTGACCTTGATGTCTGTCTACCTCCTGACCTTCATATTTATCCACTGAGCTTGATGTCTGATACTGACCTTGATGTCTACCTACTGATCTTGATGTTTACTTCCTGACCTTGATGTCCGTCTACTTTCTGGACCTTGATGTCCGTCTATTTTCCTGACCTTGATGTCTACCTCCTGACCTTGATTGCGGCGCAGGTTTCCTCCTTATTTCTCAGCGGTTACGTTGTTTTCTTTCTGTTGTTTCTTTGCAGTTCTCTTGTTTCCTGGGTTGATTGTCCTCTGTCGGGGGACATTCCACCGTCGCTGTGTCGGGGGACATTCCACCGTCGCTGTGTCGGGGGACATTCCACCGTCGCTGTGTCGGGGGACATTCCACCGTCGTTGTGTCGGGGACATTCCACCGTCGTTGTGTCGGGGGACATTCCACCGTCGTTGTGTCGGGGGACATTCCACCGTCGTTGTGTCGGGGGACATTCCACCGTCGTTGTGTCGGGAGACATTCCACCGTCGTTGTGTCGGGAGACATTCCACCGTCGTTGTGTCGGGGGACATTCCACCGTCGCTGTGTCGGGAGACATTCCACCGTCGTTGCGTCGGGAGACATTCCACCGTCGTTGTGTCGGGAGACATTCCACCGTCGTTGCGTCGGGGGACATTCCACCGTCGCTGTGTCGGGAGACATTCCACCGTCGTTGTGTCGGGAGACATTCCACCGTCGTTGCATCGGGAGACATTCCACCGTCGTTGTGTCGGGAGACATTCCACCGTCGTTGCGTCGGGGGACATTCCACCGTCGCTGTGTCGGGAGACATTCCACCGTCGTTGTGTCGGAAGACATTCCACCGTCGCTGTGTCGGGAGACATTCCACCGTCGTTGTGTCGGGGGACATTCCACCGTCGTTCTGTAGGGGGACATTCCACCGTCGCTGTGTCGGGAGACATTCCACCGTCGTTGTGTCGGGAGACATTACACCGTCGTTGTGTCGGGGGACATTCCACCGTCGTTGTGTCGGGGGACATTCCACCGTCGTTGTGTCGGGGGATATTCCACCGTCGTTGTGTCGGGGGACATTCCACCGTCGCTGTGTCGGGAGTCATTCCACCGTCGTTGTGTCGGGAGACATTCCACCGTCGCTGTGTCGAGAGACATTCCACCGTCGCTGTGTCGGGAGACATTCCACCGTCGCTGTGTCGGGAGACATTCCACCGTCGCTGTGTCGGGGACATTCCACCGTCGTTGTGTCGGGAGACATTCCACCGTCGCTGTGTCGGGAGACATTCCACCGTCGTTGTGTCGGGAGACATTCCACCGTCGTTGTGTCGGGAGACATTCCACCGTCGTTGTGTCGGGAGACATTCCACCGTCGTTGTGTCGGGAGACATTCCACCGTCGCTGTGTCGGGAGACATTCTACTGTCGTTGTGTCGGGAGACATTCCACTGTCGTTGTGTCGGGAGACATTCCACCGTCGTTGTGTCGGGGGACATTCCACCGTCGTTGTGTCGGGAGACATTCCACCGTCGTTGTGTCGGGAGACATTCCACCGTCGCTGTGTCGGGAGACATTCTACTGTCGTTGTGTCGGGAGACATTCCACCGTCGTTGTGTCGGGGGACATTCCCCCGTCGTTGTGTCGGGGGACATTCCACCGTCGCTGTGTCGGGAGACATTCCACCGTCGGTGTGTCGGGAGACATTCCACCGTCGTTGTGTCGGGAGACATTCCTCCGTCGTTGTGTCGGGAGACATTCCACCGTCGCTGTGTCGGGAGACATTCCACCGTCGTTGTGTCGGGAGACATTCCACCGTCGCTGTGTCGGGAGACATTCCACCGTCGTTGTGTCGGGAGACATTCCACCGTCGTTGTGTCGGGAGACATTCCACCGTCGCTGTGTCGGGAGACATTCCACCGTCGTTGTGTCGAGAGACATTCCACCGTCGTTGTGTCGAGAGACATTCCACCGTCGTTGTGTCGGGAGACATTCCACCGTCGTTGTGTCGAGAGACATTCCACCGTCGTTGTGTCGGAGAACATT